GCTCATGTCCATCAAGTCAGTGATGCCATCCAACCGTCTCATCTTCTGTCGTCCCCTTCTCCTCCTGTCTTCAGTCCTCCCCAGCATCAGGTTCTTTTCCGATGAGTCAGTTCTTCGCATCAGGTGGCCAAAGTATTGGAGCATCAGCATCAGTCTTTCCAATGAATGTGCAGGACTGATTTGCTTTAGGATTCACCTGTTGGATCTCCTTGCAGTCCATGGGACTCTCAAGAGTCTTCTCCAACACCACAGTTCAGAAGCATCAATTCTTTGGTGTTCAGCCTTCTTCATGGGCCAACTCTCACATCCATACATAACTACTGGCTTTGACTAAATCAACTAGTACTACATGAGCTACTACATAGTGTTGACTAAATGAACATTTGTTGACAAAGTAATGTCTCTGCTTTTTAATATGCTGTCTAGGTTTGCCATAGCTTTCCTTCCAAGGAGCAAGCATCTTTTTATTTCACCATCTGCAGTAATTTTGGAGCCCAAGAAAATAAAGTCTGCCACTTTTTCCATTGTTTCTCCATTGATTTGCCATGAAGCGATGGGGCTGGATGCCACGATTTCATGTTTTGAATGTTGAGTTTTATGCCAGCTTTTTCACTCTCCTCTTTCACTTTCATTTAAGAGACTCTTTCCTTTCAACACCTGGAGGCATTTCTTATTCCCCTTTCTGTCTTTTCTCTCCCATGAGGGGCCCCATTTATAGTTTTTAACAATGTAGTTTAACAATGAGCTCCTTCAATATATGCTATACTTTTTTCCATCTTATATATTTTTTACTGATCCATCCTTCAGTTCACTGATCCTCTCTCTCTTCAGCTACGTCCAATTTGATATTAAGCCCAGAGACTGAGTTCTTAAATTCAGTCACTGTTATTGTAAATTTGTAGAATCAGTTTTGTTTCTCAGAAATTTTTCCTTTTGTCAAGTATATTTTTGAACAGGTTGTGTTTGCATATGATACCTCTAGCATACCTCTGATAGGCTGATATACATCTGATGCCTCTGGACCTGTTTCAGTTCTTTTTCTCTTGGTCCTGTTTGTTGTCACACCCTTTTTTGCTTCTTTGGTTGCATGTTGGACATTATGTTTGGAAAACCCTAGAGGTTCTGAGTGATGCTGTCTTCTCCAAAGTTTCCTCTGACACAGACCTCCAGTGGGGACAGAGCTGTCTGCTCACTCAGGGCCTGAGTGACTTGAGGCTGGGGGGTCCTTTTAAGCTGAGTCTCAGCAGCCTTCAACCACCTTCCACCCCCCGACCCCAGGGAGGAGCCCTCCAGCGTCTCCGTCTGGAAGCCTGGGATGCCTCCCAGTGCCCCTCCTTCTCGGCAGGTCCTGAAGCCCACCGTCTGTCTCCTGAGCACCATGAGGTGATTGATACTCAGCACTCAGCCCGTTTGGGAAGAGTGTTGGGTCCGTTTTCTGTGCCTCCCTTTTCTTGGGGAGCTTGGTCTCTAACATCCGGACTGACCTGTCAGGCCTGCGCTCGAACTTTGGTCTTCTCAGCCCAAGGAACCATCCAGAGCTGTGTTAGCCAGTCCCCTCTGCTTGACTTTTTCCCTGCCTTTTCTTCGCAGAGTCAGCTTTGTTGAGATGCCCCGAGGGAAGGAGCGCCCGTCTCGGTCTCCAGCCCCCTCGCTGGGCTCCCTTCTGCTTGAAATGCTGGATTGTGGCTGCCTGAGGACCTCTTTTTTTTTTTTTCATTGATTTTTATTAGTACTGTATTTAGCTTTTCTAGCTCTTGGTAGGCTGATCTACAAGCTGCTTGCGTCTGTAACTGGAAGTGGGGCACCCTGGGTGTCCTCTCTCATCTGAAGCCACATGTAACAGTCACAGCAATTATAGTGATCATCTTTATTTGATCCTGGGGAAAACAAGAACCAGGAGTCCTTGCTTAGTACCCACGGTTGTGTTTCTGATCAGAATCCCCAGCTTGCCTGGGCTGTTTCAGTGTCACTTGAGCTTGGGAAGAAGGTGGAGCAAGCGCCCATGCGGCCTGCAGACAGAGGAGCAGCTCTGCCCTCTTCCCGTGCCCCTGCCGGCCCAGGGCAGGCCTTGCGATGACGGGCTGCTGGTGGTGGAGGAGAAGACTGAGGAGGGAGTGGTTGTGTGACCTGTATTCTGTGTCGTGATCATGTGTAGGTTTTCTTTTTCTGTTTGAAAAAATGACTAAAGTCTTCCCTCCAGTTTCACTTTAAGGTTGAAAATGAAGATTTTATTCTTAAAGTTGAACACAGTGATTGTATAATCTTTTTGAAAGCAACATTTGAGGTTTTAAAAAGACATCTCAGAGAACTCCAGTAGATAAAGCCCAAAAGAGAGAACGTGTTCAGGGTGAACTGCGGGTGGGACCCCAAACTGTACTCTGTCTCTCCCCGAATCTGTAATTGCTGAGATGGGTGGGTATAGGACCCCAAGTACCCTGGGGACCAAGTCCTCAAGTGACCGCAGAGGTCCGGGCTGAGCCAGGAGCAGTGTGGGCTGTGCTCTGGCTAGTGGAGAGCCGTGAGACTGGCCAGGAGAGGGGGTGGGAGACTCGGGCGCGGAGGCAGGGCAGCACCCGGCAGAGTCTGGGAGCTGCTGGCTGACGCGGCTCGAGGCAGGGACACCCCCGAACCTCCACCGTGCAGCCCCTGCAGGGCAGTCATCTGGCAGCCCAGGGTCGAAGTGAAGAGGGCAAGCGTGGAACAGGTTGAGTGAACCCCTACCCCCACTGTGGGTTCATTTTAGGTGCCTGGAGTGAGGTTGGTCAAGCCCTTGCTGAGCTTGAGGGGGGGAGTCAGTCAGGGAGGACCGAGCTCAGTGTGAGAGTGAGGGGCAGCTAGCGCAGTGAGTCCTCCTCAGCTGGGTCAGTTCTGGGGACACCCTTGAGTTCAGGGGTGCCCTTCCAGTAGCCTCACTGGAGGCTCATTTGTGGGGTGGAGGGGGCAGAAGCCCCCTTAGAAGACGGGATCATTCCTAGCGGTGGTGTTTTCTGAAGCAGTTTATACTGTTCGGTTTGACTGTGACCCAGTGACCTTGCAGGGTGACGTTTGACGGTGGGCCTGAGCTGTGGGCACAGCCTTCCTTCTCCCGCACCCCACACTCACCTGCAGTCTTTCTGGCAGCCCCAACCCCTCTGCACCCTTGATGGTGGGCCTGAGCCCAGCCCCTCTGTTACCATGGAGCCCCTTGTGACGGAGGGGGTTCTGGGTTCTGGGCTCCTGGGAGACGTGCTGGAGGCAGAGGCTTCATGCCATTTCTCCTTGAGACAGCAGTGCTGTTGGTCATAGTGTGAGAGCGGTGTGTGTGAAAGTGGTGTGTCTGTGAGAGCGGTGTGTGAGAGAGCGGTGTGTGTGAGAGCAGTGTGTGTGTGAGAGCGGTGTGTGAGAGCGGTGTGTGAGAGTGGTGTGTGTGAGAGCAGAGTGTGTGTGAGAGCGATGTGTGAGAGTGGTATGTGTGAGAGCGGTGTGTGAGAGAGCGGTATATGAGAGTGGTGTGTGAGAGCCGCCGTGTGTGTGAGAGCGGTGATCGTACTGTGAGGTTGGTGGTGATATCTCAGGTGTGAGGTATCTGACTGTGAAACAGCAGTTGCCCCTGAGTGGGGGCTGCCCCCATCCATGAGGATGGGTCGCAGAAAGGCCCACCTGTGGGCGCTTTTCCAATGCTGCAACCCCAAGACAAAGGCCAAGATGAGAAAGAACTTGGTCTTGGCCCAAGTTCTGGAAGCAGAATGCCCAGAGGTGAGAGCAGCTGGGGCCTGGGCCCGTCGGATTGGCCCTCACCTGGCGAAGCGTTGGGGTTGTCTTTCATTTTGTCGGCATGGTTGTGGGCCCTGCCAGCCAGGGCGTTTTGGCCTTAGTGGGCGGGATCGACCCCAGCAGGTTGACCTTGTAAGAGGTTGTGCAGGTGCTGCATGGAGGATGGGCGGGGCCCCATAAGAAGGGAAACACTGGCTGGGGGAACCTCTGGGGCATGCGGATCGAGCTATAGACTCAGTCCTTGAAGCAGAAAGGCTAAGCCCCTTGACGCCTCCCATCTTCAAAGCACAGACAAGTGTGTCCAGTATATTAATGATGGGTGCCTACTGCTTACGTGTATAACATACAGCCTCATAGCTTCACATGTCTACTACTGTTCTGGGTGTGAATACTCAATATGCAGTAGGGGATACGTAGCCCAGGATTTTTGTATTTGTGCCAAGGACAACAGAAGAATGAAAGAGTTGAGTGTGGTTCAGTTTGAGCAAGTTCACCATGTGGACAGCCCCGTGTGCACACAAATTGTGGTAAAATACATATAACATGAATTTAACATTTTAACCAGTTTATTGAATGACTGGGTGACTTCAGTGGGGTCAGGCTAACAGACAGCCTTGGGGTGCCATCAGCCTTTTTCCCAGAGGAACACTCCAAAGCCTGGTGGCCTTGTAGACCTTACCTTTCTTCTTGACTCTCCCCAGGGGTTCTAGGTCACTTGTCTGTGTGTCATTTAAGAATCTCTTTATCCACTTTGTTGTTAGGTTTATGTTTAGGAACGTTTCTCCGACGTCCCTGGGTCTTGAGAAGGCAGGCTCAGATGCCGGGTTCTCCCCTGCCACGAGCCTGCCAGGTCGAGGTGGAGGCTGAAAGCTGGTCTGAATTGTGATGGTCTGTGTGGTCTTGGGGTCAGCAGATGCCCTCTTCTCTGGAGGGGCAAAGAGATCCTTTGTGTGGAGCCTGAAGAGACTTGACACGGTCAGTTTCCGCATCTCACTCTCCTTTTAATTTGTGTTTGCATTTAGTTACTTACTCATTTGTTTTCTAGTTTACAGAACTTAGTAAAGAACTAAATGTATGCAGGGAGCAGTTTCTTGCAAGAGAAGAAGGAATCACTGAGCTGAAAGTGGAAAGGAACAACACCAGGGTCAGTAGGTGGAGTCTCACGTGTTGACATGTGCCCCGCGGGGGTCGCCACTGGGCTCTGTATTGCTGTCCTTAAACTCTGTCTGGTTTTCAAGTCCTTTTTCATATCTTCCTACTGAGCAGACCGAGGTGGATCAGTTTGATAAGACCTTGCTTCAATTTTATGATGAGAGCTAATGTAATTTTAGTACATTTAGGGGGGGGAGTTCTCTAAACGTACATTTTTGTCCATGGTACACTTTGGGATCTTAATTCCCTGACCAGGGATTAAAACCTATGTCCCCTGCAGAATTGTGGAGTCTTAACTCCTGGGCCACTGGGGAAGTCCACTCTAGCTTTAGACTGAACTGGCAGGATTCCCACATGCCTTAGCATGGTTTCGGCTTTAGCGTGAGGCTGAGAGGAGTTATCGGCCCTGAATTCAAATATGAGGTTGAAGGTGCTCCTTTGGCCCCGCCCCACAGCTGCTGCTGGAGCACCTGGAGCTCCTGGTTTCCCGGTATGTGCCGTCCCTCCGGATGACGGTGGGCAAGCAGCAGGCGCAGTTCCCAGCCGGTGTGACCAGTGGGGTGGAGGTGCTCAGGGCGCTGAAATCTCTGTTCGAGCACCACAAGGCCCTGGACGAGAAGGTACCAGCCACCCGGCCGTCCTGGATTTGTACACTTGCTGCCTTGTTAGGTGGATAATGCACACATTTATGTACCTAGTTGAGTTTTGAGCTTCTTGAATTTTTGTAAATACATTTTTTCTGTAAGAAGTCAGAGTTTTATATGGTTAAAAAGCATTGCCTGAGTACATGCTCAGTCTTGTCCGAATCTTTGCGACCCTGTGGACTGTAGCCCACCACATTCCTCTCTTCATGGGGCTTCCCAGGCAAGAGTACTGGAGTGGGTGGCCATTTTCTACTCCAGGGGATCTCCCCGACCTAGGGATCGAACCGGCCCTCTTGCATTGGCAGGCGGATTCTTTACCACTGAGCCACCTGGGAAGCCCCCCAGTTAAAAAGTATTAGTTGGCCTAAATGTCTCAAGATTTATTATATTCTGTATATCAATTTGCAGTTAAAAACTGGGTAATAGAATTAACTTAGGATAGCATTTTGTTCTCTCAAACTTAGAATTTAAAGCTGTAAGCAAGCAGATTTTCTTGATGTTAAGATCACTGAGAGACATTAAAGGTATTCTGTTACAGTAGCCATGTATTAGGGTGAGTATACACTAAGAAGTGTACTAACGTATATACACACATCACACACAGTGACTCAACCTCTTTTATTTCAGTTGAGAGAGCGATTACAAGTAGCACTCGAAGGGTGTAGTTTTCTAGAAGAATTAGGTGCTACGCATAAAGAGATAAGTTTGATCAGTCATCGTGTAATTTCAGTTAAGGGTTTGTCATTTATATCCTTTCATTTTTAAAAAGTATGAAGGCTGTAGTGGTGGACATCAGATGTTATTTATTGTTCTGATTGAGGATAAGCCCACCTGGGTTATTTTAATGACTAGTAAACTAAACTTGTGGTTCAGAGCTGCAGGATCTCTTAAGTACCCCTTTGTCCAGTAGAAGATAAATTCTGACTCTAATCACTTGGTTCTATTCAGGATGGATAGCATCACCATGTATTTTCTTTTTATGTTGTGTTTTCAGTTTAGAGCTGAATTTTTCCAAGTAGAGTTTTGCTGTCTTTACTTATTTCTTTACTCTGATTCAAATTTTTCATTTTAGCTGATGATTCTTAAAGAGCAGAATAACCAGGAAAAGATACTAATGGACGGGGTGCTTGATGGAAACCACGAGCAAGAAAACATGCCAAGTGCCAATGGAAAGGCAAGTCCTCAGTCTCACTTTCTGTCTGGTTCTCGTCTTACCATCCAGTCTGTGCGGGGCTGTTGGGACCGCTCACCAATGCACCATGTAGGTCTGAGTGGCCGTGAGGGTCATGTGAGCTCCCAGAATGCAGAAGGCGTTTTTGACCTCACCAATTTCCTGGAAGTGCTGTGTTCCCTCCCTCCAAAAACAAGGCTGTCTAAGGCTTCCTTTCCCCCTTAGAGATTGTTGGGCACCTCTCTAAGCCACGAGGAAGACCCGACTAAGGTGATAGATCTCCAGGAAGTCATAGACAAGCAGTCGTGGGAGCAGAGCCAGATGAAGGAGCACCTGGCAGCCCTCTCTGCCCACGTGACAGAGCTGGAGGAGGACCTGGACACAGCCAGGAAGGACCTCCTCAAGTCCGAGGAACTGAACAGGACACTGCAGCAGGATGTCTGCGAAGTGAGTGACAGCGGCCTTGTCTGCTGTCCTGAGGTGGAATGTGGGTCCCTTGTTCTCCGGTGATCTCAGCCTCAGAATGGCTGCGTGAGCAAGAGCAGAGCTCTGGCAAGACCACAACCGGCTGCCTTCCCGCCTCTGCGTCGAGGTCTCTGGGGTAGAAGAGGCCTGGTCCAGGTGGTCTGTTGGCAGTGGACCAAAATGAGGGCAGCCCTAGCACTGTGCTACACCCTGGGTGTGGACTTCTCATTTCTACAAGTTCTAGGTGGCCCATGTGTTCCTTTATTAAAGATTCATGCATCCATTCATTCATTTATTGGCGTAGAGTTACTTTACACTGCTGTGTCAATTCCTGCTGTATAGCAATGTGAATCAGTCATATATATGTATATATACATATATCCCTCGTTTTTAGATTTCCTGCCCATCAACCTCACCACGGAGCACTGTGTAGACTTCCCTGTGCTGTACAGTAGGTCCTTACTCCTCCTTGACTCTACGCATAGGATCGGTAGTGAACATATGTCAACCCCGTCTCCCAGTTCTTCCCCCCACCTGCCTCTCGAGTGTGTTCCTGATGATGCTGAAATTTCCTTCGGATTCACTCAGGCGAGTCTGGTGACGTCTGTGGCACCCGTTCTCTCGGACAGATGGGGCGTGCTGTGCGGGCTCTGCTGAGGCAGCTTGCCTGGCCATCTCTAGATTTCTGAGGTTCTGCTCCTAGAAGGGATGTGTGACAGTGATACAGGCAGTCAGACAACTCGAGTGACGTGGGCTCACCCTCAGATCCTCAGGCCCGAGCTGTGTAACCATGTATTATCACGATGTTTCTGGTGGTTGTGTCTGCAGGTGTCATGATTCATGAGAACTTACCTGAGGATGACTGTGAAAACAGAAGAGTGCTGGGGCTCATGCCTTCTCCTGTAATCCTCAACTCTCGTCTATACACAGAGAGACAGAAGAGTGCTGGGGCTCAGGCCTCCCCCTGGGAGCCTCACCTCTCCTTTGTATGCAGACATATAGCACCCACCCTGCCCCACCCTCCCCCATGAGACCATCTTTTAGAGGACCCCTCCAACACGTGTTACAGCAGGTGTACTTGTTTAGTAGCTTGGTGTGAGTAATTCTGTGTGAGAACTCAAAACAGAAATATTTGCACCTGCTTGTATAACCTATTCACATTACTCTTTGGAACAGGAGGAGATTAGGTGGCAGAGTTTAATATGTAGAGAATTCTGGAAAATGTTTTAAGGACCTTTCACTTTTAATATTAGGACTTTGCTGACAGTTACTAGTGACCAGGGAGGGACATGAAATGGAGGTTGAGCTGGTGGACAGGAGTTGCATCAGCAGCAACTCCTCTGGTCCTGGTTTGAGCATTTAATACATGTGGTGTAACTCTGCTTCAGAAGAACTAGGCTTGAAAAGGCTGCTTCCAGTTGTGTTACACTTTGACTTCTGTTTCCATTCATTAATATTCTTACTTTAATTTTGAGGAAATTCCATGAGTTTTTTCCAACACTTACTCTTGGAAACAAGCCTCAGAGCTCCCCGTTGGATCTGTTGAAGGTCGCTCCCTGTTCTTGATGAAGCCCGCCTGTATGGTGTAGCAGACAGAGGTCCTGACTTCATGCCAGATACCTTCCCTCCTGGAATTCTTGCACTAACAGAGTAGTTTAGTATACTTTTTGTTTGCTGTTTGGGTTTATTATGTAGAAAAGAAACTTGGTAAACCAAGTGGCCGAACAGAACGTTAAGACAGATGGGTGCAAACCGTGGCAAATGTGACCTTTGAGGTAGGTGCGTTTTTGCTCCTGTCTGAGAAAACTGCCATGTCTAGGACTTTAATTTTGAGGATGCTAATGTTTGATTTGAAACTTAAGATTTAGTCCAGCTCTTCTATTCTTAAATGTATTGAAGTGTTCCATGAAAACGACTTACCTTTTCTCCTCCGCAATGCCTGCTGTAGGCCATGGCCCAGAAGGAGGACATGGAAAAGAAAATCAGTACCCTTGAGAAACACTACCTCACCACACAGCGTGAAGCCACCTCTGTGCATGACCTCAATGATAAACCTGAAAATGAAATTGCAAATAAGGATACTATGCATCAACAGGTAATGGCCTTTACTGAGCTGTGTCAGACTTTTACAGTAGTGAATTACTGAGGAAGGAAGGTAATAACCTTTTCATGTGACTCCCATGTTAGAAATCAAGTCCCAGTGTAAAGTTCTTGTGACCCTAAAATACTGTGTTCAAAGGTATGGATGCACATCATGGTAAATCAGCTGTACTGGAAGGAAATACATTTTTTAAAAATTGGGGGTGACTGCAACTTACAGGTTTGAATTATCTGAGACTAAGTTTAACCATTTTGTGGAATTAAACTCCTGACTCTTTTGTTTTACTTGAACGTGAATCTGTTGGCTTGTTAATGTCTTTACTGAAAGAGCAGAGAGCAGCAGGGAACTTCAGGGCAGCTGGCTGCCCGTTGGGAACTGGGGTCACTGTGACAAAAGGCAGGTTTAGTGCTCCAGACTGATTAGGGTTTGTACTTCCTGTGGTTTGGTGAGCCTTACTCGCTCCTGTTCCCGTGTGGTATCAGATAATCAGGACTTAACCAGGAAAACCAAATCTGGCTTCTCCAAAACAAAGTGAGTTGGTCTGGTGTGTGACAAAGTGTATCATTGGCCCCACCAAAAAAATAAAATACTAGAAAGCCATTGAAGTGTATGATGTGGAATGCTAATTAAGAGCATTACGATAGACAAAATAATGGCTGTAAAAGGCAGATCAGAAAATACTATGTACCATATGCTGTTATTTTTTGAGGGTATCAAAGCATATTCATATTGTTTGTGTATGTACATAGAGTGATACACACACAGAAAAAAATAAGAAAGCTGCTTAGAAACAAATGCTAACCTCTCAGGAACCTGAGCTTATAGATAATTTAATTTTTTTTCTTTGTTATAAAAGAATCTTTCTAAATGTTCTACATTGAAAGTTTTTCAGAGTAAGAAGTTCTGTTAAAAGAATAATCGTGCATTTACAAATATTAGTTGACTGGCATTTCACCAGGCACACTCTTATCAGGTTTGTATTTCAGAGGAGATAAAAGCCATATTTTGGCTTACACACCCATGGCCATCTGTGGTCAGTAGGGTTCCCTTCAAATGACGATTCTAATGATGTTTTAAGAAGGGTCCATACTGAACCCTTCTAACATTAACTTGTCAGTAAAAATGAATAAGATTCTACAGAAAATTGATCTTTAATATATAAGAACTTTTTTCTGAGTAGTCCTTTCTGGGTTCACCCAAAAGCTGAGACAAATCGTGAGACCTTCAGGTGGACAGTTCTATCCATCAGAAAGATAATATGAGCCACATACACAATGTAAAATTTCCTAAAAACGTCAAGGCTACTTAACGTCCTTTTTTCACTGTGAGTCTTGAAATCTTCTCTGTGACCTCCGCATCGAGCTTTGCACCGTCCTGTCTCCTGTGCTCAGGGCTGCACGAGGCGGGTGACTGCCGTGGCCGACAGCACAGAGCTGCCAGGCTGAGTCGAGTGACTCGGAAACTTGGCCCGTTTGACTTGTCTTACCCCGTGAGGAAGAGAAGTGGGGTGTAGAGGAATGAATGTGAGGGATGCCCAGGAATGCAGGTGAGCTCCATGGAGACAGTTTAAAGCAATGAGAGGAGCGAGGGCAATAGAGTGAGTCCTGTCCCCCTCTACCCGAACCCCCGCCCCAAGTCCAGCTTCTCTCTACAGACTTCATTGTTCTTAATGGCTTTCATGTCTCCTCTAGAAGCTTTCCTACACCTGAGATAGAACTTCTCATTCATTATGGCTTATAAGGGTTAATATTGTTTTGAGTGTTTATATTTCCTATGGGACTTTTAGAGTACATTGTCTCAGAATTAAAATGTTCAGAGTTGATAACTACTCATGTAACCTGTTATGCACATTTTGGTGCAAGTCATTTTACATCTGGAAAGCAAGCGGTGCAGGCTGTGTCATTCACTCTTTCATAAGACCATCTGATTAAAAACCTGGAGACCCCTAGAGCCCAACTGGACCAGATGAGGCTGTGAGGGGCTCCCCTCCACCACGGGTAGGGTGCTCCCCCAGGCAGCTACCCTCAGCACTGTCGACTGGGTGTCACTCATGGTCACACCTCAAGGAGCCTGTAGCTTCGTGGCCAGCGAGACGGGAGAGACAAGCATCGTTCCTTAGAATCGACCTTGGTACCAGGGAGAGTGGTGATCATGGTATTGACAAAAAAGTCAAAACCACAGGCGGAGGTTTGGGGGAAGTGGGGGGGCGGACCAGTTGATATTTGGGTGTATTCACTTGAGGGACCTGACACACAGTGACAGTGATGTTTCTGAAGAGTCGCAAAAGGTTAATGACCTGCAGTCTTTTTTATGTGAATGGAGACTGAGACATGACTTGCCGTTCGCTGTGGTGGGAGGAATCACCTGGCTTGTGAATGAGGCTAGCAGATTACTGAGCATCCTGATTTTTTCTTACTTCTTGTTGTAGCGGCAGTACTTCTTACTGTTTAAATGTTTCTTTGGCTTCTTCATGGAAAATGGTCACAAGTGAGAGAGAAACTTTAGCAAAGGTTACTGAAGTGCTTAACAGGTGACTTTCATCCATCTGTAGGAAATCGACTGCTGCTTGAATCCTGACGTAGAAGACTGTTTGGAGCCCATATACATATTTCTGCATTTGTGTGCTTAGGGGATCCTCGTGGTCCAGGGCCCCTGCCCAGCCTTCTTCTAGAGTAAGGGGATATCATTAGAGACAAAGGCAGAACCAGAAACTGGCCCTGCGTCAGAAACCACGGTGGGTGGACTTCAAGGAGAGCATGTGCCCTGCTGAGCGGATAGGGGACACGGCCAGACTTGCTGGCAGAGCTCCTCCAGGGTGCAGGGCTGGTGCTGTCAGAGATGGAGACCCCCTGCTCCTGGGGTGGACGAGGTGAGTGTGAGGAGGTCTGTGTAGACAGTGCAGGAAGAGGAAGTGGACACAGCCTCCTGCTCTTGGGGGGTTTGGGTAAGGAGGAGGGCGCTGGTGCTGGGACCCAAAGGCCTGGCATGGTTGGGGGATTCAGATGGAGAAGCCTGGGGCCTGGTCACCAGTCCCCTGTGTGTGTCAGTGAGAGATGAGAAGAGGAAGCAGCCATGGGGCAGGAGCAGCTGCTGTGCTCTGAAGACAGTGGGCGCAGCAGCTGGTGCGAGGGAGGGGTGTCTCCAGGAGGCAACTCTCGAGGGGTCACGGCAGTGACTTAGCAGCACAGGCCGGGCCTCGGAGCGGGGCTTGCAGGCAGTGTGGGCTGGTGGGGGGCACTATGCTGGCTCAGGAGGGAGGGAGTGGGGACTGAAAACCTGGCTCACAGGCAGGGCAGGCTCGGTGTATTATCACAGGACCTCCCAGTGGAATTGGTCACCTTGTCTCTGAGACCTTCTGCTGGAGGAGAGCCTCGGGTGAGGAAGGGGAGAGAGATGGAGTTTGCACTCCGCGAGGGGACTGGGAGGTGATGGTTGGGGGCGACCAACCCGGAGGCCTTTGTGGCCCTCAGAGGACCCGCGGGGGCCCGCAGTCCATGGAGAGACAGTGTCATACCCCCAACCCAATTCCCGTGTCCTCTGGCCCCAGGCCCTTGGGCAGAAGTCGAGCAGAGAAAGCAGTGGTTCTGTCAGGAGGGAGGGAGATGGGAGGGAAGACAGGTGTGGCTCGGGGAGATTCCAGATTCCATCTGTGCGGCACAGTTTCCTCGCAAAAGCGTCAAGCAGCGCAGCGTGTGAGCCCGAGCAGGCTGAGCTGTTGGTTGGCCCTGGCCGCTCTGCAACGTGTGGGGTGTCCTGTCCTCGCGGGAGGGCTCTGTCTCCCGGGTTTAGGGGCTCCTGCACGTGCAGGCACCACCCTCTTCCCAGAGACAGGACTGAGCAGAGCCCGGGCCTCCTGCCTCGCAGGCGGCTCACAGCCAAGGCTGCTGCCCCACCTCTCAGCAGGCCCCTGCTGAGTGAGCTGCTGGCACCACCAGGCCCAGGCCTCAGTCCTCAGGGCCTGAGCATCTGTGCTGAGCTCCAGAGTTCAGTCCAGAGTCTGGTGACATGCTCATCTGTGTTTCTGTGGGAGACACCCGTGCAGCTCAGCTCCAAGCTTTGGTTGAGGGCTGTCTGCTGCTGGTTGTCTGAGGCGCCGTTAGAGGCGCTGGGAGCGGTGCAGCCAGTGTTCCAAGGCCGATGGGTGACTGTGATCCACGGACCTCACACAGGAGAGGGAGGTCAGAGCAGGCGTGGGCCAGAGGGGAGGTTACGGGTACCAAGGAGAAAGCAGAGCAGGTGCAGGCCCTGCCCTGGGACCTGAGGGTGGGCTCCAGGGGGACTACAGATGTCCCAACCCGACTCCTGTCCTAGTCAGCTGCACATCCTTGCATCAGCACTGCCTTCCCCACATACAGGAGTTTTCCAGCTGGTGGGGCTGGGACCTGAGTGTTTGCGGGGCAGCGGGCGGCCTGTTGCTGTTGGAGCCAGGAGGGCAGTGCCCTCCCGGGGGCCCTTTTGCTGTGAAATTGCCGATCTTCCAAATTGACAGGCTCTGAAAAAAAAAAATGACAGGCTCTGGCTTGACTGACAGAGTGAGCGCTGTTTTCCTCTAACAGCACTATCTTTCCTGTGTGTTTCAGATGCCCCACTTGGACAGCGCCGCAGACTTCAGGCTCCCTGTGGTGGACGGGCCCCGTCCACCAGACTCCCCCGGCAGCGGGGCGGTGCTGCTGCGCCCCCAGAAAGGCTGGCTGGCGGTGCTGCACGACGGGCTGTCCAAGGCAAGGACCCCCACCGCCACCCCCTTCCTGTCCCTGGTGGTCACCTTGTGAGGCACCTGCCCCTCACACTGTGGTCCTGAGGTGGGTTCGGAACAAAGCGTTGATAGGCTGCTTTGCGTCTTCCCATTTTCCTTTTTCTGGCTAAGAATCTACTTTTAAGGCATGCTTTTTTTTCTTAAAAGAACCAATTTTGATAACTTGTGGCCTACTGTGAGGCCCAGTACGGTACTAATTAGCACAGTTTTGACATCATCCTACAAGTAAATAGATACATATATCTATCATCTTTATAGGGAGAAGAATCCTCATTGGAAGTTTAAGTGCCTTTATATTTTCGCCTCATTCA